GAAGTCTGCGAACCAGAAATTCTGACTAAGGAATTCTGTTAACCCGGGGGAAGGTGTTAGGCACCCCCGGATTCCGTGGTTCTAGCACGGTCGCTTAAACTATCATAATTGGCCTATTATCTGATTTTAATACATGTTTTAAACCTATAGTGCAATTTTAAATTATTTACCGCGTTTAATTAATTTTAAGAAAAATTGAACGTTGTTTAAAACGTGTCTTTGGATCGCGTCACATGAAATGCACCCGCAATCTAAAACACATTTTATTGAACGTTTTAGGATTTGGATTTGGGTCACATGAAATGCACACCCGAGTTTAAGAAGGTAAAATTATTAAATAACGCGCCTAAAGCAACCAACGCGTTGTTAACTTTGCGGGAGACCATGGAAATTCGCTAAATGGCACGCCCCGGGTTCTAAGTATTTTAAAGGAAATAATTAAAGAGGGCCATGCAATTTGTGATTTTATTTGGCGCGGCGCACCTCGATTCCGTTTTTAAAGGATATTCAGACAAAAATTCGGAGAACTAATGAGCTATTATTATCTATTATGGTTCAACTCCTATTCTAATTAAAGGAAAAAAAATTAACGTTAAGAATTAACTAACATCAAAGTATTCAAGAAAATTTGGGCCCCAAGATCAAGCCCAAACTCAAACAAAGACGATCTCCATTATTGAAGAAGTCCTTAGTTCGAGTCTGCCACTTAACTTGGAAGGCCCGAACACTTACAATCTCGTTTTTGAAAATTATTAAACCAAAGGAAGACAAAGACTATGACTAAGGCCTTCAATATTTTGGGCTTTGGAATAGGCCCAGTAATTACTGGACCTCTTCACTTTGAGGCAGCCAAAATCCCTCTTATCTCGAAGTCCTCCGACGTTCAGGCCCATAAGAGGCCCAAACTTTGCAAAACGAGGCTGAGGGTAGACTACCTCTGAATCGAGCCCAAACAGACAACAAAGATACGTAGAGCTAAGGAATTATGCCATATGAATTTGATCTAACAAATTAATATGCAGGAAATATTACATGCTTCACAAATTATTCACGTCCTAATTCCATTAAAATAAGTTATCCCCCTCCCCTTTAAACTCATCACTTAATGTGAACTTCTAATTACAGGACCACAAATTAAAACCCAAAGCAGACTGATCTGATTACAGTCCTGGATTCCTTTTATTAACATATCTAAACATGGAACAACTAAAATCAACATATGCTGAACTTCATGCATCAAATTCAAATGCTACACATTATCAAATACAAAAACAGTGGTATAACCTACAATTCCTAGAATAACCCCTGCATTTAGCTAATATAGATTGCTAAATTAACCTACACTACAGCTAACATAACCAGCAGATCCAAATGTATCTCATGAGTTCAAGCAGTCTCTAGTTAATTACAAAACATGAAGATTTATCTAATCAATGAAGCTAAGTGAACTATATTGAATCGAATGAACACATAAAACGGAAGAAATCAGCATGGCTTTTATTTTCATTCCCAACTTGAGAGCTACATCATGATAGATTCACAACATATACCTGGAAATTGAAAAAAAAGGAAGAAGGGGTAAGGATCAGCCAAGTAAAGCAGTAGGAGTAGGTGTTTCAGCAACAAGGTCAGCTAACTAAACACAACTTCAGCCCAGGAATAAATAAGGAATGACCAACTTGGAAACAATTTCGAACCAGCAACAACATTCAATAAAGCCCAGCAATCAAAGTCGAACCAGAAATGAACCAAAAAACACTTGAACACCAAGTGATTCAATTCATTTTAAACCTTCAGTTGCTCAGAAATTATTTCAGAATGAATATCGCAGGAATTTCCAAGGATTTTCTCAATAGAACAGTGGATTTTGAAATTTTCAGCTGCCTATATTTCTCTACTTTTTTAGCTCTTCCCAAAACCTCCCTTCAATAGCAAGGAAAGAATGCCTTTATAGGCAAGAAAGTAGGGCAACCTTAAGGTTTTTAGTTTTATCCCTTAGGTCCCAGAATTTAGGACTTGTTTTCCAAGTTATATCTGAAATTTACTAGCAGATCCCTACTAGAAACTTCTGAAAACTGTTACCAAAGATTCCCTATGTCCTAATTCCCAGACTAACCTTAAAAGCCCTGTTATTTACCCCTCAAATTGTTAACTTAGGTTAAACTAACCCAAAGTCCAACTACACCAGCCTTTTTAACTTGGTCAGTGATGACCATAGTTACTTATGAGGGGTTTGAACACTCAGAAATGACCAAATGGCACCAAAGAACATAACAAATCCCCAAAACTGGAAGGCAAATCCAAACAACTCTAATTTTAGGCTCGAATTAACTTTAATTACTTAAACTCAGAATTGAAATCTACTACTTAGGGGTGGGCATATTTCGGTCGGAACCGAATAAACCGACCGAATTCCCGAATTTTTTTTTATTTCGATTTCGGTTATTCAGTTTGTTCGGTTGGTTTCGGTTCAAAATTTTAAAATTTCGGTTTTTCGGTTCGGTTTTCGGTTATTAAGTTTTTTAGTTCGGTTAACCGAAAAATCGAATTATTAGCATATATGTTCTTTAAGTTATATATAGGCTAAGCCCATAGGTAATAAATTAATACTATTAGGTCCAATCTATCAAAGACTCAACTCAATTAAGTAAGTCCATCAACTTTCCAATCTTAAAGACTTTCGGTCTATTAAAACTTCCATAACATATGTGATAGATACCGGGAGAATTTCACACAGAGTTGTAATTTACACTATGTTTGAATTTTATGATCCATAATAGTGTGCAAAGTTTAGTCTATTTTTTTTCTATAACCACAATATTTCCAACAATTTCAAAGTTTTGGAAAAAATCAACAAGTTCGCCGGTCATATTATTACATAGAAGGAGTCCAATATGATAATGTTCAAACCGAAAACCGAACCGAAATAACCGAACCAAAATTAGAAAAACCGAATTGAACCGAACTTATTTCAGTTCGGTTTCGGTTACTACTTTTACAAAACCGAATAACCGAACCGAATTTCATCAAACCGAACCGAACCGACCGAATGTCCACCCCTACTACTACTATAGATCATCAATCAAACAGACAAAACGAACAAATAAAATTAATCAAACAAAACAGAACATGCTATATTGTAACAATCAGTACGAACAAAGACAAGGAAAAATCAGAAATTTGAAACCTAAAAACCTAAGAAAAATGGGCAAACAAAAATCAAGGCACAACTTATTAGCAATTGCGGAGGAAGAAAAACTAAACATGAAGGAAACAGGTGTGAATAAACAGATTAACTTAAAAGGGGAAAAAACTGGGTTGAACTAGTTTCAATCGGAAGAAAATTCAAAAAACGAACAAAACTAAGAAAAACTCACCGATTTAAACTCGAACATGACTGACCTCCGATTTGAGTCTCGAAATGATATTAATCGTTTGTTCTTTGCCAAGAACAAGCGAACAACATTATTTCGTGACTAAACCGAGCCTAAAACTCGTGAGGAAACAGATCATTGACTTTGCATGCATTGGTCAGGATTTGGCTTCTAAGGCTCGACCCTCTGATTCGATATTTGAGCATTTCTGGCAAGTTTCGATGGAAACTAAACAAGGTTTTGGGAAGAGGGGAACGAGGAGGTTATATGGTGTTATTTTGGTGGTGGTTGGTGGTGGCGCCGCCACCGGAGAAAACAAGGGCGGCGGCTAGGGTTTTGAAGTTTTGAGGGATTCGAGGGAAAATATTGGTGGATTCATGATGAGGGGGTCGAGGTGAGTTTATCGTGTGAGTTTGGTGACAATTGGCCGCCGGCCACCGCCGTAGGCGATTTTCGGCAGGCGGCAGGCGGCGAAGACGGTGAAGGCGGCTGGGTGGCTAGGTTTTAGTCTCTGAAAATGGTGGGGTGTGAGAGAGGAGACGAGGGGGGTAGGTCGGGTTTGGACATATATATATTTAAAACACCCCCACTTCAGGGCCGTTAGATCAAGTAACCTTGACGGCTACGATTTAACGAGGCTAAACGGCGTCGTTTGGTATTAGCTAGAGACAGTCTGGTTCAAGGGGTGATTTGGGCTGGATTGTGGGGTTCTGGGCTAGGCATTTGGACGAAAATTTGGGTTGGGGGTTTAATTAATTGGCCTGGAGTGAATTTTGCCCAAATTTGGGTCTTTAATAAAGAAGACCCAATTCTTTTAATTTCTTTTCTTTTATTTTCTTTTTATTTTTTCTTTTCTTTTTCTTTTCAAATTAAAACAAAACTAAAATTAAACCTAAAAAATTAAATTAACCTACCAAATTATATTAAGCTCTAATTATGCACAGGGTAATTCTTCTCATGAACCTTCAGCTGACGTGAAGCATATGCAATAACTCACCCCTCCTGCNCTCTAATTAATAATCAACACCATTAATTAAACCAATTTAAAGGAAAACTAAACAAAATTCAAAGCTAAAATTAAACAAAGCAAATAGATCATTTTTTTGTGATTTTTGTATTTTTGTAAAACCTAATTACTAATTAATCTAAAATATGTAAAATTAAATCATAAATGCAAATGCAATGCGTATTTTTGTATTTTTTATGAATATGTTAAATTAAAAATGCACACAGAAATGCAAATAAATATGAAAATTATGCAATTAAATTCTAAAAATCAAATAATTAAAAGAAAAATCCTAATTTTAAGAATCCTGTAGGAGTAAATCATGCGAGGCAAAAATCACGTGCTCACAATATCAAATAAGTGGGGTTCAACCTTGTTCACGATCGGTGACCCTTTTTATCTATGTATTCTTCATTATTGTTCAATGTTATGTAAATCACCTTTCTCTTCTTACATAAAGGAGATTCAATCATTGTTATAGTTAAATCTCATATTTATTAATTCTTATCTTCTATCTTAGATCTAGGGTAAATTATGTTTGGCTAGGATTTACCTCAAACCTTCTTATTTAATTAGTTCAACAAAAAGTATAAATCTTTTTTGGTAAAACACTTACAGGCATGAAGCTAGGTAAGAACTTTGTGACTAGACAAGAATTTTACCTCTCCTCGTGGAAGAATGAATACGATCCAGCACCAGGGGACTATACATTTCATTGTGACCCCACTGGATATCCTCAGGATGTCATGAGGAAAGATAAAGTAGCGGACCATGGGATGGTCTCCACTGGAGTTGTGTACCACGACTGACAAAAAATCCAATTTATACATTTACGCTGGATTTTGATGAAAAGAAAGCATTTTACAGCTACTCACTCCTGGATAGTTCTGCTATATCCAAGTTAACCTTGAATAGTAAAGGTATGCTTCAGCGTTGGACGTGGGATGAGAAGAGACAGGAAATGGCACGTTTTCATGACTTCACCAGGAAATACCTGTGACAACTATGGAACATGTGGTGCATATGGTAGTTGCAAAATCATACTTTCTCCTGTGTTTTGTTGCTTAGACAAGTTTGTGCCAAAAGATCCAAGAAATTGGGCAGCGACAAACTGGTCAGGCGGGTGTGTTAGAAGGACACCCCTTAATTGCCAGAATGGAGATGGATTTCTCAAGTACTCTGGTATAAAGCTTCCAGATACACAGTATTCTTTAAGCAAGTTGGCTTAAAGAATTGCTCTTGTATGGCTAACTCAAATCTTGAAATACGCAATGGTGGAAGTGGCTGTTTGCTTTGGTATGGCGATTTAACTGACATTCAAGAATTACCTAGAGGACAGGACATTTACATAAGGATGGCTACCTATGAGTTATGTAAGTTAAGCTTGTGCAATAAATTCATTACTATTTGGTCAATATGGAGTATTAGCTGAATGAACTGAACTTTCCAATTCTCAGCTTTAGTTGTTTTTTGCTTCGCTATTTGTTAAAAGTTCACATAGTATTGATAAGCCAACGAGTTTTCTCTCGGCGCATTTTTAGCAAGGATAGCTAATTTGCGCGGACGACGATGGCTCGCCGGAAAACAAATGGGAAACCAAACCTAATTCGCAGCAAATACAAACGGCTTCGAATCGAATGGTTACACCTGAATCAGGAGTTATACAACAATTAGCTCCAGTTCAATTGCTACAATGGATGCCAGGTATGGGGAGTGCACCGACAATCATGCAAGCCCCACCGCCGAAGGAAATCGAAACTACAAAGTTGAATGAGAACACTATAGCTACAGCAGCAAGGAAACTGACCTATTCTACTGGATCTGGAGAGGAGAAGAGAACTATGGCAGATGTGGTCAAAGAAAATAGAACAGTACAACAAGGGATGCAGCTCAAATTCTATCCACCTAAGGTGAGGGATGGAGTTAAAGTTGTGAAGCTGAAACAGGAAGAAATGGCACAGCAATGCAAAAAATGGGAGTCAGCACTCATAGGGTATGTTATGGGAGGAAATCCTAATTTCAAAGAGATGCTGAAATTTGCTTATGGGGTGTGGAACTCAGTTACTACTCCAACGGTATTACTACATGATGATGGCTATTTTATATTTAGATTTGAATCAATTGAGGACAAAATGCAGATTATGGCAAAAGGTCCGTATACTTTCAACAATAGACCAATGGTACTGAAGAATTGGGAACCAGACTTTGAGCTTGATAAGGTGACCCAATGTCACCTTATCTTTTTGTTTTGGTGATGGAGTACTTGAACAGATCTTTAAAGCAGCTGAAATCAAATCCAGATTTTAACTATCATCCTAAATGTGCAAAATTGGGAATAGTTCACATCTGTTTTGCTGATGACTTATTAATGTGCTGTAAAGCTGATAAGGTGACTATTGAACTTATGATGAAACAATTTGAAAAATTCTTCACAGCTTCAGGCTTACTAGCTAACATGGAAAAGAGCTCATTCTATGTGGCAGGAATATCTAATCAACACAAGCAAGAAATACTGGAGAAGCTGCAGTTCACCATTGGAGAAATACCATTCAAGTACTTAGGGGTCCCTTTGTCCTCAAAAAAACTCACCATTAGTCAATGCATGCCTTTGGTTGATAGAATTGCAGGAAGGGTCAAATGCTGGACAGCCAGATTTTTATCATATGCAGGGAGAGTCCAACTAATCAAAAGTGTGTTGTTTGAAATGCAAACATACTGGGCACAAGTCTTCATGATTCCAAAAAAAGTACATGATCCGGTTACAGGGATATGCAGGAACTTTCTATGGCATGGAAGCAATGAAGGAAAGAAAGCTCCTATAGCATGGGATACAATTTGCAAGCCAAAAACAGCAGGAGGACTGAACATTATAAACTTCTCTCTGTGGAATAGAGCAGCAATACGAAAACTGTTATGGGCAATTGCACGGAAGAAAGACAAGTTATGGGTTGTGTGGATACATAATCACTATATAAAGAAGAAAGAGATTGAAAACATGCAAACTCCTAAACAGGCTAGCTGGGTGGTAAGGAAAATATTTGAGCCAGAAAATGGCTAACCACTGGAATACAAGAGCTGGAACTATATGTTGTACAGGGGAAGTATACCATCAGCACAGCTTATCATTCCTTCATACCACAATATCCAAAAGTTACTTGGAAGACATTGTACTTGACACAAGGTATGATCCCTAGGCATCAATTCATTCTGTGGATTGCACTGCATCGGAGACTAGCAACTGTGGATTGGCTGATCAAATGGGGAATACCAGTACCTGCAGAATGTGTTCTGTGTATGACAGATGAAGAGGAAACTCGTGATCACTTATTCTTTAAATGCTCATATTCAAAGTTCATATGGAAGCAGATTTTGAGGTTGTTTGAATTGATCGACAAGTAGGTAGATGGCAGGAAGAGATTGAATGATGGCTACAAAAACAAAGAGCAGGAATACAAAATGGAAGATTCTTGGAAATGCCTTTGCACCAACAGTATATCATACATGGATGGAAAGGAACTTACGAAGGTTTCAACAGACAAGGAAAGAAAGTAGGGATAGAGTTAGAGAAATTGTATTGCATTTACACATTAAAGGAAATAGCTACTGTAAATGGAGAGTTGTCTTAGATAGGATAAATAGATATCCATGTTAGTATAGAGTTTAAGTTCTAGATGTGGAACTTAAGTGATAAAAAGATAGGCTATTCTTGTAAGACCCGTCTCTAGAGTCCAATGAGCGGGTGGATGTACATATTTACACTTGGTTAAATAAAAGTTTTCAGTTTAACCAAAAAAAAAAATCACATAGTATGTATATCTAGTAGGGGAGACTTGGTTACTATAAGGAAACCATTTTTCCCTGTTTATTTAGTTTATTTACCCTCCATTTTTTTTGTCAGGCTCGAAGAAGAAAACAAAAGTACTTGTGCTGAGTCTGTTACTGTTGAGCGAAGTGGCTGTCATCACGGGCGGCCCGACGAGTTCTGTGGCCTAAAGTCAAACTTTACGAGGGGTCTTAACTTCTTCTTTTTTTAAATTTTTTTTATTTATTTATTTGAAGTTTATTTTCCTAACGTTTCTTTGATGTAAAGTTATTAATAATTTTGTTATAATCAATAACTCCTAATAAGTCTTTCTTAATTGACAATATAACTAATCCATTCAACCTTTCTTGAGACATTGTTGATCTTAGGTAAGATTTTATCAATTTTAATTTTGAAAATTTCTTTCCGCTAAAGCGACATTAAGAAGAGTTATACATTATTCCATAATTAATATATGCATTGAAAAAAGAATCAAATCCTTTTATTTGACCGAGTGTACCAATTAAATTGTTTTCTTCTAATTGTACTATTTTGCTAATATTTTCAATTCCGAAAATAAATCTAAACCATCAATATCGAATTGGTTATTATGCTTTAAGGAACATTCAAGATTAAGGCACTATTTTTTCAAATTTCCATCATCTAGTGATCTTAACTTTTACCGCTAAATAGTAAACCAAAAATATTTTCATATACTTCGAATTGTTCAAATCTATTTTGAAGTGAGAAAAATAGCCTTGTCTACTATGTATAAAGTAATCAACTCTAAAGGATTCTTCGAAAGATTTTGAGATTTTATGATCAACATTTTCATAAAATTGTTACTTCCTATAGTCTTACGAAATTCGGGTTCGATATTCATTTCAAGTGTAATATTCATGGCAAAAATCATAGCAGTTGCAAATCTTTATTCTCTATACTTATTAAAGAAAGAAATCAAACCTTTTCACTTCACAGAACCTTTTTTAAAATTTATACATAGCCTATTAAGTGTACAAAAAATAGGCCCCCACAAATGTGGAGCCCAAAGCAGTTGCTTTACTTGCTTTATGGAAGGGCGGTCATTGGCCCGACTATAGGGCTGTATATTTGGAAAAAGAAGAAGAAGAGAAAGCTGACTTTGAAAGATGATCTATACCTTCCACTTTTTGCATTATCAACAATAACTAAAGCAACCTCTAATTTTTCAGACAAGAACATGATTCGGACAAGGTGGATTCGGATCTGTTTACAAGGTAACATGTGAGTTTGTTATATGATATCACAGTAAAAACATCTTTAGCTCTCAATAATCAGTCAGCTACATGTTATGATATGATACCATAGGGAATCCAGGAGGGAGAACAAGAAATAGCTATAAAGAGGCTCTCAAAATCTTCCTCGCAAGGAGTCAACGAGTTCAAGAATGAAGTTCATTGCATTGCCAAACTTCAGCATTGAGATCTTGTGAAGCTTATAGGTTGCTGCGTTGAAGGAGAAGAAAAAATGCTGGTCTACGAGTACATGCCCAACAAAAGTCTAGATTTTATCATATTTGGTCTGGTTACTCTCCTTTAACATATGAACCTCAATTAGCACACACAGTAAAGTTGATAGTTTGATCACGTTTTAGCTTCACTTTCTAACAATATTATTGTAGTGTTCTAACAAACCTGTTAACAGATGAAAAGAAGAACTCTATACTTAACTGGCCTAAGCGCTTCAACACCATCAATGGAATTGCTAGAGGAGCTTTTGTTTCTCCATCAAGATTCTCGGCTAAGAATTATCCACAGAGACCTCAAAGCAAGTAACATTTTGCTATATACTGACATGAATCCCAAGATCTCGGATTTTGGATTGTAGGGAATGAGACTGGTGCTAATACACAACATGTGGTTGGGGGACAGTAAGAAATGTAACACTACCTCTATACATTTATGTTACTAATGATATAGTCTGTCTAATGCTATCTTCTCTTTAATATGTGATGCAGTGGCTACATGTCCCCAGAGTATGTAGTCCATGGTGTTTTCTCAATAAAATCAGATGTATTTAGCTTTGGCGTGTTAGTGCTAGAGATAATCAGTGGTCGTAGAAACAGAGGATTTTCCCATGAAAGTTCCGGTATTATAGTAGCAGTTACTTTGTCATTTTATTTCTTATTTTCCGACTGGGAAATTATATGGCAGTAGCCAAAAAGCTAGAACAACCAAAATCCTCTGATAGATTAACCTGTAAGCGTTTCAACTATACATGTGAGAACATACTCTAACAAAAGGTTTCACCATTCATGGAACTATCATCTGTACAAAAACTCAATAACGTTCATCTTCCCATCTCTATGTGAGACAAGCGGAGAGAGATCCAGAAAGGAGAGAATAAAATATACAATCTAAATAACTTCTCAAAATCTTGCAGCCCCAG